CCAAGACCCATCGAGGGAAGCATGAGCTCCAACTGTCACAACTTCTGACCGCTGTTACACCACATGGCACATAGAGGAGAGCCGGGCGGAGAGACGGTGGCCAAAATTCATGACCGAACAAGTCAGGAAAAGAGACGAACAGAAAGAATCGAGAAACACAGATAGTTCCGCTGACGCTTTGAATTCGTTGCTCATCTACAATCCCAGATTCTTTCCATCTTCGGAAGATATTAATTTTGTTGTGTCATGAAGAAAGGAAAGAATATAAAGAACAAGAGGACGTTTTGTCGCCCTCACACACCACGACTGGCGGAACTCCAGAGTGCAAGAAGTCGCTTCCCAGGTCTCCTTTGTGATGGTGGCCAAAGGGTGGCCCATCTGCTCCGTCCATGATCGCATCATCTGCCGATGAAAAGGGAGAACGAAAAATAATGGACGAGAGGCGCGGCGATGAAGAGTAAGAGGTGAGACAGATGCCCGCCGCGCATGAAATTGTGGTCGAATGCTCATCATGTGCACCAAAAAATTAAAGGAATGAGCTGCTGTTGTTGTTCCACGCGCTCTCTGCCAAGAGACAGCCGTGAAGGAAAAAAAAAGAAGAAGGGAAGTCAACATATGTAGGAAACAAAAAACAATCAACAAGAGGAGAACGAAGCACGCCGTGTAGGCTACAATACTGGAAAGCGAAAATGTGGGGAAATTATGGGTCTCAAGCCGACTGTCACTACGAGGTCGAACGACATCTCGACGCGTCGAAATCTTTGCGATCTAATCACGTCACCGGCGGCACATCATTGGCGACGCAAAAAACATTCCAACCAAGAAAATACAAGCAACAACATCGCCTCTCACGACAACTTTACAGCAGCAGCTACCGCAAACCATAACAAAACATCGGTGCGGCAACAACACAGGCAGTTCGCAGGTAACACTACATATGAAGTCACTTGCAATTCATCCTGCACTCTTCCACTAGGAACTTGTTTTCATGTTCATGCTAGCTAAGGGTTGTTGAAAGAAAAATAGATTGCCATCGCAAGAGAAAAAAAAAAACTGGCTAGCGGAACCCCCAACAATATCGCAGGGGCGCGCGCACGCAAGGGTGATCAAAAAGCGGGCAAACCTATAAAAAAACAAGCACCGCAGTACGGCACTCGTCAAATCTTCCACACCTGACCGATGTCCTTGCCCGAGACCTGCGACCACGCGTCCCAGAGGTCGTACGTCTCCGTGTTGCCGTACTTGTGCTTCTTCATGTACTCCTGGTCATGCCGTAGCAGCAAATGGCACCGGGGGTGGGATGCGGAACGGAGATGCTGGTATGCTTCACCGCATGGCGTACGCAAAAATGAATCACGTGTCAAACGTTTGCCAAGCGTGTGTGTTCGAAGAGATGAAGAGAGCTTGCGCTAGCCAAAAGCGTGTCGCAGAGATAAGGCGGGGGGGGGGGGGCAGCATGGNGGAACGTCTGGGGGTGTCGTGACGTGCGGGACCGAAGGGGGTACGTGCGGTGTTGTAGCTTTCACACGCGGACTCAACAAGGGTCCCGCATCCTGCAGCAGGTGTCACTCAGTCTTCGAAGACTCAAGACTGCCAACACACCGCCGTCGAGATTATTTTCTTGAACGAGCATAGCTCTTCCATGTACGTACATCGTCTTCAATACGCAGTCAGCAAGAGGCGCATCATGGCATTGCCGTAGTTTTGCAATATCTGGAATGGACCAGACAGGGGGCACCGTCTGGTGCGGAATGTACAAGAGCGGAGTGGAGCTACAGGTGCGGTCCTTGCTTTTCGTGCCCTCTTTGCAGCAGCAAAAGCAACGGGGCGGCATCGACTACAACACGTGGTCGAAAATCTTGAGCCCCCGTCAAACATCAGCCCCCGTCTGTCTCACATGAAGAACCTTCTTGAACATGTCTATACCAATCAAATCTTCCTAGATAAGCTCCTTCGGTCGATCATTTTGAGACTTGTCCGATCAGCGCCCGATTGTGTCACCTGGAGGCCCTTCTTGAACATGTCCATGCCGAGAACGGCGTTGAGCATCTTCACCACGCACGCCCCCTTGCAGTAGCTGATGGCGTCGAAAACCTGCTCCACCTCCTCGGCGTGCGCGATCGGCACCTAACGTCACGTGTTGAGGGTGATGGTGGGTGCTTACCGTCAGAGGCGGCAAGAAAACGTTGATGGCCCACGACCTTGTTATCGAGAGGGCACGCTGGTCCACGCACGGCAGAACAGGGATGATCATCCTTCTACAAACACGTACCAATACGAGAAGACGTATTTCCAATACTGACATGGCGTACGTTTCAATTTCAGTTTAACGCTTTTTTTACGGGTACGTTCGGTTTCACTTCAATCCGTGCTACGTATAGCTCGAAATAATTGAAGAGAAACATTGCCTTGGGTGACCCTGGCTGGTGATGTCCAAACATACCGGAAGGTGGAGAAAACTGGGGCCCACAAAACAAGGGGGATGGCAAGCACAAAGTCCTTCTCTCTCTCTCTCTCTCTCTCTCTCTCTCTCTCTCTCTCTCTCTCTCTCT